AACGCGTACCTTGATTTCTTTTGGGAATCATAATTATGTCACGCGAACGTGTACACAATCATGATAATAGATTAAGTGCCTAAAGTATTCTATGAATTAAGAATTATTTTTCCTAAAAAAAAAGAAGTTTTGATATTATTGTGAAGCTAAAGTTATGGACGAGAAAGGTGATGTAATTTTGCTATGAATTATTGACGAGTGAATTACACGTGTGAATTATTACTTCGAAACCTGAAGTAATTTATTTGGCCCAATGAATTCATAATACCTACAGTTCATAATACCTTCACGCAGTAAATTATTACTAAATTCATAATTTGTTTAGTAATTTATTGCTAAAGTTAACAAATCATAATACCTACAGATTTTGTTTTAGACTAAACTAGCTAAATACTCCAACTAGCGTCACGTTAATACTTAATGACTTCAAAAAAAAAAAAAAAATTATCCCAAACAAATCTACTGCATGACATAAAAAAAGAAACTAACTAATGACCTAAATTATCAAATAAAGCCAACACCCAATATTTAATTTAATATATTTAACCAGTCAAAAAGTTTTTAGTTCCTTCTTTCTCGACAGTAGCTATCCAAGACCAAAATGTCATACAATTTAATAACTGTACAATGGAACTTATTACCCCATATTTATTCTTCTATGGTTGACGCTACAAACATTATGAAACTTGTGAAACAAAATAAATTTTAACTTCACGCCTTATCTTTAAACAATTCAAATATACAAATTCACACGCTAATCGCAATAACAAACACCAAAATACATGAAAAATGGCCAGTAACAGGTAAAACGATAAATTCGAAATAAGAGTTAATAAAGTGAGGTAGAAGACATATAGTAATTTTAAAATCCTTTAAATTATCTTCAAGCCTACAATTCTAGTGAAAATGGTACAAAATTCTCATTATTGATTTCTTTAGCTTACGAAACCGGCCAGGAGCGAACATTTGCTTCTTCTTTTAATAAAATTTTACATCACACTAATTTAAGTAAAGATATAAGACAGAAAAGAAAACAGACGAGGGGAGTGCAGTAAAAGGCATCAATGAGATCTCGACATGAACTCTCAAATTTGAGATGAATAAACTATAATAAAAAGTATCATATTACTGCATACAACTCAGATATTTAAACCATAAAAAATTTACAATGAATACTACTAAAAATGAGAATCCAGACTAACCTTGAAAGCAGAATTTTTCTTTCAATAATACAAGGAATGTCCGCAAATACAACTCCAACGTCCCAACAATTTCAATTCGAACGAAGATGCAACAAGAATCCGAAGATCGCTAACCACAAAATAAGCTTGATCAGCAACCACAAACCCAACCGAGAACTCAGATATATTCGTGGGTGCTTAGCTCTTTTTTCCAAATCTCCCTTCGTCTGTCCTCTTCCTTTTTTTTTTATTTTTTTTTATAGGGAATAATATTAGTAGTGTTTTTTGTTTCTCTCATTTGGAGTGGGGGAACGTGGTTCATATATTGTGTGTGCAGATGAAGATGTGAGGGAGTGGGGTGAGATGTGAGTGAAGTTGGGAAATGAGGAAGTTGAGAATTGGGATGCAGATTGTATTTTCTGTTTTCGTTAGTTTTTTTTTTTTTTTTAAAAACCTTTTTCTAACCCATTTTTATTAAACAAAAAGATGGTAATATATATATATATATATATTAACCAACTTACTTTTAGACTTAAATATTATATACATAAGAAAACAAAATATTTACATTGTAGTTTAAATTATATTAAGAAAAATACTAAAGTTAACTTATTTATTATAATTATAATTAAAAGAAATCATATATTTTGTAAATTTTCATTTTTATATTTGCAAATAGAAATAAAATATGTTCTATAAGTGTGTGTGTGTGTATATATATATATATATATATATATATATAGACCTAAAGAAAATATTTACACCAAATAGTATAGAATTTGGGTGTGGTTAAAAATTAGTTGTTCACAATGCGTTCTTATACTAAGTTGAAATGCATGATTTAAAAATATTTACTTATTAGTGTTAGATTTGAAACACAAATAAGTTTAATTCCCATAAGTAAAATCGGCACGATAATACCTCTGCAAAGTATTTACAACCATAATATAAATGAAAGAGTGAAGGAAATGAATGTTCTTTCATAATATTAACCTTAACCTCTTCTTTTTCTCCACTGGCAAGGTAGTTACAAGGTTTTACAAGAAAACAAATGTGACTATATTAGACAACGTTACACCTAACTGATGAAGCCTTAATTTGATTAGCACCTGCATTAAGATGGTGTAAGGTTCAGTTCTCACAAGGAAGTATAAGTTTATCATTATGTTCGCTATTCTTCTCCCTACCGTGTGCTAGAGACCTGTTTTGATGAAAAAGGAACATATGCCATCTAAGCAAATTTAGTGTGTTTGGACTAGAAAAGGATTATGGTTTTGTTTCATATTGTGTTTGCTCAATTTTTTTGGGGTGAAAATTATTTACACCCTCAATTTCCTTTAGAGATAAAACTCCTTTAATTTTGAACGATTGACATTCTCCCTCTTCATATCTCAATTTGACTTTTTTGCCTATTAACCCTATAGATTATCAATTTTTGTCTTTTTTTTTATTGGTTTAAGTCCTATGGTATCTGTTGGTGGTATTGATATTGTCTCTTTTCGTTTTCTTGAGCCGAGTTTTTTCGAAAATAACTTCTTTACTCCCTCGGGGTAGGGGTAAGGTCGGCATACATACTACTCTCTCCAGTTGTTGTTGTTGTTGTTGTTTTCATTGGTTTAGGTAGGAGTATTTTTATCCAAATACTTTTTCAATAAAAAGAGGCTAAATGTTGATTAGATTTGAAATATTTGGCTATTGTTTTTATTAGCGGCGTGAAATGTGGCTATAGTAGAGTGTTGCAAGTGTTCTTAGCTCATTGGGCCGGTCCGTCTAGTATAATTGGGCTTGCACTTCGGCCTATGTTTTCTCGGCCCGAATTCGTGGCATTAATCCTGCGCGTTTTGTCTGTTACACCTCCTCCTCGAAAATTCTGGAGCATAAGCATTGCCAGTCCTCACAGCTACTCCAAGCAAATTCAGGGAACAAGTAGCTGAAGAAGAAACAAAGAAGATGTCTATAGTTTTGAACTGTGTTGCTTCCGTATCACCTGCTTGTGCCACAGTAAGTTGGAGTTCAATTTCATTGGTCGATGTCCATTTGTACTGTTACTTCTGCTTTCTCTAATTCCGGTGAGTAATATTTGTTTGACGAATTTACTGCAGCGGAAATGGAAAGCTCCTATGTTTGGGAAACAGTTACCATCGAGAACATCGTCTTTCGAGCCACATGTGAATCCAGCTGGGTTTCGGGTCAATGCGTTTTTCTTCAATCCTATCCAGGAACCCATTCTCAAAGATGCTCTCAAGGTACTACCCTCTATCTTTTTTTCTCTCAATAATTTTTATTTTATACTAGTTTTTATATGTAGGTTAATTTACCAAACTCTATTTTAGTATAATTCTTTTGTCGTCTGATATCATCCAGTTTTGTATTGTTAGCTTCCGCACGTTATTTCGATCCCAACATCTCTCTCGGTCGATGGCCTATTAGTAGATATCAGATATGCTATACAATTCGACATTTCTTCTTCACAATACTGCTGTCTGGTCTGTTATTTTTTGTCCGCGTCATAATTGCAGTAATGCCTGCGCACACGAAATGGCGTTGTATATATTCACCAAAAGAAAAAACAACTGGTTTTGCAAATTATGTAGAGAATTTTTCCGTTAAAAATATTTTCACACAAGATGCCACCATATCTGCTTCTTAGAAATTAGACTTCCAGCTAGTTATTTTTTACTATGTTATTGGAGAATTAATATGTCTGGTGTGGATTACTTGTGCTTAGCTCTTGAATACAATTCTTCGATAGGCATTTCTTTTTGGGTGGGGGTTGGGGGTGGGGTTCCTAGTGTATCTTTTGGAATCAAAATGTGTGAGCTCATCCTGACCACTTAGCTTTGTATAATTCTTAGTGGCAGATAGTGGAGTGAACTATCCAAGCACTCCTCCGGGGTATCAAATTTTTTAGTGAGCTGTTCAACTTATGTTCATTTTTATTGGAACTCCGCAATACCTCTTTCCTTATGTTACATAGTTTTCCAGTTCAGCAGTATTTGACATGGTGTAGTATGTTGTTGCTACCAAGATGAGGTATATGCTGCTGATCTAGTGTATTGCTTAGCTCCTTGGTGTCACAAAGAGGCGTACGCTTGTTGTGCTTGGTGACTGGATTGAAATATTGGCCAGGGACTGCACTAGAATGATTGTTCTTAGTACTATTCTTGCAATTGTTAATAGCTTGCCAGACGTAGAGATTGAAGATGTGTTGAAAACCGACTTAGCTTAGAGTTTGTGTCAATGGACTGGTTAAGAACTCCATTATACTATGCATCAGCTATAGAAGATGATGATGTCCCATTTTCTTTAAAAATTGTAAAGATTTTGGCAATGGGCCTCATCCAGTTAAGGCTGGGATAGTTAATATGGAAATTTAACCTAATTCATTTAGTTAACGACTTAACGGGCAGCCTAGTGCATTAAGCTCCTGCTATGCGCATGGTTTAGGAAGGCCCCGACCACATTAGGTCTATTGTACACACTCTTACATTGATTTTTGCAAGAAACTGTTTACACGGCTTGAACCCATGGTCCCATGTTCTGCTAGTTATTAGCTATTTAATTTTATGTTGGAGATCCCCTTGGGAAAGGTGGAACGGTAACTCATTTGCTTTTATGGATGGAACATGGAAGTGTAGCATGTAGTTATTGCCAATTTGTTTTGTGCTGATATAAAGGAATTAAGAAAAATGCAGAGGGTATAGACCGAAAACCATGAAAAGAATTGTTGAACTCCCCAGCCCTGCTGGAAATGTTACAATGGAACTCTAATCATAATATCCAGAGGGCTAGAAGTTAGATTAATACTTAAATCTTGATTTCTATATTTAATTTTTTTCCTGAAAGCTTAACTTTAGTCGGAAAATCTGAGACATTTGATTAGTAGTTTTACTTAAGTATTTACTTCTTCTACTAAAGCCTTTTTGTAATGTGAGATGTTGCAGTGCTTATTGAGTTGATATTGTTCTCATCTCATCTAGTTCTCACAATCTGACAGTTGCATCTGCTGAGAAGTTGAGATAATGACATCGTGCTGATTTTCATACAGATTTACTAAAAGATTCTAGAAGCCACTCCCACAATGTCTTGGTGTAGAGTTATGCCCATGTAACACTACTTAACAGTTCCACTCTGCTTTAACTAAATAGTCCGATGTCATTATAGTAAAGTTCGTGCCTGTGGCGTGACCATTAAGCATTTGCATTGTTCTCATATCTAGAAGGCTCAGAATCATGCTATTTTCACAGCTAAAGACATCTGAGCTTATTGATATAGGTAGCTTTTGCACCATGTGACATCACAGCGAACAATATTTATGGCATTTTGCATTGATATGCAACAATTTCAAATTAAATTTAAAAAAAAAGAAGCCAGTTGCAAGATCTTGCTGATGGTCGGTAGTTTGTTTGCCATCCAGGGGAGGAAAGAAGAGAATTAATTTTGATTTAACCAAGTATAAGCAAAGAGATGGAAAAACTTTAACAAAATAGAAGTGTAAAAGCAAACTAGAGAGGAGCTTTTCTGTATTCCTTTAAACATGGTAGCAAACAACTACATCTCCCTGGAACATTCAAGAAGCAAAAGTTCTTTGTCTTCAAAACTTTTTTGAACCAATTTGAATGTAGCGATGTAGCTTAATGGACTGTGTAGTGGAAGAAAAGCCAGAGGAAAAGGTATCAATTGGAGGCTTAGATTATTGCTCCATGTTCATTGCGGGGCAAAACAACTTATCTAGTTGTTTTCCAACATCATAGTTAGTTGCACAGATCCCATGTATAACCTCTTCACTGAAGGATGTAGTAGTGGAAAAGCTGGAGAATGTAATGTTACCAAAAGAGTGAACATAGATAAATAAGAAAAAAGAAGATTATGCATTAAGATTGAATGCTTTAAATTCATGTCTGTTTAAATGATGATCTGGTCTCTAATTCTTGGAAAATCCCTTGTCATTCTCTTTCCTCTCTCCTACTTTAATAAGAAATGTGAAGACACTTCTGTCAAGCTTTCTCATGTGAAACTTTTCCACCCCAAATATGCAGGAACCTGTTGCCTTCGCGGGAGGGATATTTGCTGGACTTCTAAGACTTGATTTGAATGAAGATCCTTTGAAGGAATGGGTTGCTAAAACAGTTGAGGCCTCTGGAATTACAGCAGAAGAAATTGAGACTAGTGTTGACCAAGCAGAGGACATCCCACAACAGATAGAAATTGAATGACCTTCTATTCTGTCTCTCCCTGTTGACAATGCTGTAAAAACACAATATTTGTCATTTACCTTAGAACTGTACGCAAAGAAAATCCTAAATCTTACATGAACAGTGAACATACATTTCTACTGGTGTTGTTACTTTCACCAAGCACTGGATTCTGTAGATAAAAGGAAAAAATTATCTTCCATTCAGCTCTTTCTTCCTGGTAGGAGATGAGGCAAAACCCACAGCGAATACCCTTGCATTTTCCTGTTAGATACTTATCCCTCTGACATCCTATACCCTTGCACTATAGGACGTCAAAGGGATCAACTGATTATTATCTTGTATTGACGGTAATCATTTTGCAACATCTGAAGATTTATGTTTCAATGAGCCGTTGTCTGTCCTTAATTTCTTTATTATAGAGGGCGATGTTCTTATTTGGTGGGATTTTAATTTCTTGTTAATCCTCACCTCATGAGCTAACTTTGGGGATCGAGTTAAGTTCAAAGTCCATTTATCAGTATTTGGTTGCGTAATATAGCCGGTTGTTTGTCCATTTATCAGTATTTGGTTGCGTAATATAGCCGGTTGTTTGTCCATTTATCAGTATTTGGTTGCGTAATATAGCCGGTTGTTTGTCCATTTATCAGTATTTGGTTGCGTAATATAGCCGGTTGTTTAGAGAATATCTATCAAAATACTGACGCTTACTGTTGTGATAATTTCCTAACCAGAATATTATGGAGGCAAGCAGAAGTGTCTTTTCCTTTCTGAAACAGGCAAGCGGAATTGACTGACTAAACAGTCATGATCTTAATTTGCTAAAGAATAATTTCCTAACAAATTTTCTGCCATCGTAAGGGAAAAATGAGAAAAATTATGAAAGTCCAGGCCTTATCGAAATAGCCTCGACTCTTGCGCTATTACTTGTCTAGTGAATTGTAGCATCCTAATTGAATGACATAAGACAAACATTTCCGACAAACCCAAATTCAAGTATCTTCTCCTAAAGCTACTTGTTTTTCCTTAAAAACTTTAGTCTAAAGTAAATACGCGTTTGTTTTGCTAGCTGGTGAACGTGAATCCAAAAGTAAGTAGTGTATAGAGTTTGAAAAAGGTAATTTCTTGATCTATTTGGTAAAATTCGATGAAAACGAGATATAGTAACAGGTGGCTAAAGGTAAACAGAAAAAGACAGGGAGTTGAAGTGTCACATAATGGTGGTACACAGAACCATTCATTGCCCATGGTGTTTTGTAGGTAGTAAAAAACCAGATCAGGCTTAGCTGTGAAACAATCTCATTTCCCAACGCAAATCTTAAATAGTTTCAGTATCATGTGGTATCCAGTCTAAAATTGGACGTTGAAACTAGTAAAAATGATCAGAAGTGTAATGAGAATTTGGACAATTCTGATAATTGCAGGCCTCTTTCAGCAATTTAGATTTTAGCGGGCACTGCTTCTTTCCCGCCAACCGAACAACATGCTGACTTCAACACGTTATCTCATTTAATCATCCACGCTCTTTTGTTATTCCAACTTTGGCAGCGTCTACCTACCTTTATCCTTAATCCTAGGATTTATTGTCTCTTTGGCAGAAACAAATATTTCCAAGTTTCATTTACATTACTATAAATAGTTCTGTTTTTTTTAAAATAATTTTCTTATTCAATTTTATCCTTACTCTAATAAATAGAACGTTGCATGGATTATAGTTTTAATGCGTTGCATGTACTCCGAGTTGAAAATTGGCTCTAATATGCGCTGTTTTAAAAGGTTTTTTTGGGACTCGCCTCGGCGCTCGCCCTGGGACGGGGCATTATCAAAATGCCTTGAGACTCATGTGTGAGGCTTAGTTCTGTGAGGCTTACGCCCCCAAACGCCCGACTGTGCGTCCTAAATACGCCTAACACTCAACGATCGAGACTCGCCCGATAATTCATATGCAAATCATGTGTTGAATTCACTAATTTGCATGGTTGACTCTCAATTTTTTTTAACAAATGAATGATTAAAGTTCTTTTTATCTATATGAATATAAAAATTGTGAATAACTCAAATAACGAACTATAGTACTACATATTTACTAATTGAGAATATCATGAAGGTGATTATCATTTGAATATTTCTTCTAAAAATAGATAACCAAAATTTATATCTTTACTTGATAGATTTCCGCGTCTTAGTTCTATGTCTCTCAAAATTATCAAAGTAAATTTCTTATTTTACTATTTAAAAATTATTTTATATTTACTCATGAAGGAGTAATATTTTAAAGTACAGCGTTGATAAAATTTATTGAGTATTTACTTTTAAAGAGGTAAAATATTCAGTTTGACAATATTTTTCAAGAAATTATAATTTAATTGTTTGAAAGTAAAGAGGTTGTAGTTAATTTATATTTCATAGTAACTTTAACAATATTATATTATTTATACTTCTAAAACATACAAAATATTTTATTTTATATGAGTTTCTTTAATTCTTTTTAATTTTCTTGAACTTATAATGTATCGTTTATATTTTTATTGTGTTATAATGATATATTATTAATTCATAAATTAAAAAATTAGAGATTTGTGGGGCTTATACCCTGTGTCTCGAGACTTTTACCTCGCCCCATATTAAGTAAAACGTCCGTCTTCACACCCTCACCTTTTAAAACACTGCTAATATGTATCTTCAAGAATTGTAACTCGTGTCTAGTTATTCCGTTTGATTACTCTTTTAAAATATTATTCATTTCGGTCCAAAATAAAGAACACTCACCCTTTAAGGATTTGACACACTCATTGTTATATCTTCTTGATTTTCTTGGGATACTTATTTTGAACGCTAAAACGACATTTATTTTGGATCAGACGGAGTATCCAACCAGTTTCACTATGACATGACATTCTTTCTTTTAGTCCATTCCAACAACACGTAAATATCTTTTATATTTTGAGCCTTATTGTTCTTCTATATCTTAACAACATTTCAATTTTATCCTTATACTCTCTTATAAAAACGATCTGATATGTTTAGAACTACAAATTGTATTTTTTTGTATGTTATATATTTAATTTGTGTGTCACAATTCCTTATATCTTTTTAAAATTCGAACAAAGTTAAGCAATATCATTTGAAAAAGAAATGGAGGGAGTACGATATTTTTTACACCTTGTACGAGTATAAGAGTATTAGTTACCTTTTTCAAATTGTAGATCCGGTGTAGAAATGGTGCATCTAATGTCTTGTTAAAACTGTTGTGGTTAGATTTTCCTTTAAAAATATAAAACTATTTTTGAACTTGAAATTATGAACATGGATATGAAACTTTTCATTTCTTGGTCATTGTTTTTAAATTGTAATGCTCGAAGTTTTTAAAAAATGCAGCTTTAAGTAATAGTGCAATTTAAGAATTGTTCTTTACGCACTTGTATGAGTTATGATCTTTTTATATTTAGATAATTCTTACCTCATAAGTTAATTTTTGGAGTATCTAATATTTGATTAATTTAACTCTGTAAATTATGAGTGCGACATTATACAATTTTTTTAATGAACTACAATAGATAAAGTTTGATAACCTGTATTATAACTCTATATACACGTGATATTCATGAAATGCCAAGAAGAGGAAGTGGATAAAAAGAACATAAAAGAATATATAGACAAGTTTGTAGCGATTTTACTTTCTGCTATTATACTTAGTTATTTCTTCCATTTCAATCTTGTATTTCATAAAAAATAAGGGCAATATAATCCTTACGTAAGGGCCATCCTATCCAACTTTCAGGCATATTAAGATACGTTTCAAGCGTGAATGATTATCATAAGAGATTCCCAACATATCATATGATTCTCGTTCTTGAAAATTCACACTTTTTCAAACCCAGAAAACAGACGGAATTCTAGGATTTCTCCTGGAGGCAAATATTTTTATGCATATGTTTGAGTTGGCATGAAGTTTAAGGAAAATAAAATTTTGCTTGAAACGTGTAATCTGAGATATATTATGAATGTTTATAGCTATAAAAATATATCATTAGAGTGAGTTAAAAAAACTAATAAGAGTATGTAGTGACTTATAAATGAGATGTAGGGAATAGTTACCAATAAAGACCTTAATCACATGTTACAAATTCAAGATAGTCTTTTATTAGACAGCCTTTAAACGAGAGTAGTTAGTAGTGGTACTTTTTAGGACAGCAAGAATTGTAAGCAGTAAGAACTTCGTTTACCAGATTTGGCCGAAATGACGGTTAATGTTGTTTATGACGCTAGTATTAAACAATTACAAAGGATGCTGTACACTACGCACATGAGGTTGTGCGCACTATTTAAAAAAAATATCCTAATGTTGCAGTTGGGAAAGTTAAATGCACAGTTCCACAAAATCTATTCAAACATACTTGCGCACGCCTATTTAAACCTGATTTCTGCTTCTTTCAGCCGCATCTTCCATTTTCTTTATTCCGGCGATTGCTCCGGTGTACGGACACCGGTAAATTACTCGTAAATGCCAAGCCTCTCCGGTTGCTGAATACTGATAGCACTAGCTAGTAGCTCAGCTAGATTTCCGGCAGTGGCCTATAGACGCCGGAGTAATGAAGACGATGAGTCATTTCTCATCTAACTTCCTGTTCGTTTTCCTCGTGTCGACGGCAATATGTATAACAGCAATGTCATTGTCGTTAGCAGCTGTAAATGCTGCTAATATTACTATTAATGGTAATATTGTAACTTACGATCGACGCTCATTGATCATTAATGGCCAGAGGAAGTTGCTCATCTCTGCTTCCATTCACTACCCTCGCAGTGTACCTGCTGTGAGTCCCACTATAACTATACTATTTCACTAGCATAGTATTAGTGAAGTATTTTGTGCTCTTTTTCTATGCATAAGAGTTTTAAGTTATATGCACCGGGCATAAATAATATTTATGCAATCAAGTCAGTGAGTAATTGCAGGTAACTCTGTTTAATAACATTGATTGGTAAGTAACCTGCTATAATGTGTTAAATTACACTGATGATGTATATAACATAAATTCTTCTAATAGTTATTTGTCTAGTTAATGCAAAGTAGTTATTCCCATGGTTCTGATTTTCTATGCTCTATCGCAAATTTAACAGATGTGGCCTGGTCTGGTTCAATTGGCAAAAGAAGGAGGGGTGGATGTTATAGAAACATATGTTTTTTGGAATGGTCATGAACTTTCTCCGGACAATGTAATACAGATTCAGTTAAAAATTGATGGTTTATCAAAATCTGAAGTTATTTTGAGAGGGGATAGAACTGATATTTATTCTTTCTTGCAAGAAAATTTTAGTATTACTTTGGAGGAAGGTATGATCTAGTCAAATTTTGCAAGATCGTTCAGCAGG